AGCGATGAAGATGTTATAAATTTTATCGCGTATATCATGGAAGTTGATGGTGACATTCTTACTAAAGTATATGCTTTGAATTTTTATATAATTACGTCAGAATGACATTGATTATTGATTTTAGACCAAAATGTTTATTACTTTTATTCTATTTATATTATTCTATTTATATTTAATAGGCATTGACTTGTCGTACCATTGAAGCATCTCGCGGTGGACGTCGGGGCTCGGTATATGATGTTCCTTTGAATACTGTACAGGTTTGTAAATGGTCTATAACTTTTTTATATCTGTTAATATCGTAATAAAATGATTTTTTTTTTTTTTTCAAGGCACCAGCCGTACGTGATGCTCTTGCAAAAGCAATATACAATAATTTATTCGAGTGGATTGTGGATCGTATCAATTCTGCCCTAAGATCCCGTACTACAGCATCCCATGTTATAGGAGTATTAGATATTTATGGTTTTGAAATCTTTGAAGAAAATAGTTTTGAACAATTATGCATTAATTATGTCAACGAAAAGCTTCAACAGATTTTTATTGAACTTACTTTAAAGACTGAACAAGAAGAGTATGTTAAAGAAAAAATTAAGTGGACTCCTATTGAATTTTTTGATAATAAAATTGTATGTGATTTAATTGAAGGGAAACGTCCACCTGGTATATTCGCAGCATTGAATGACGCTTGTGCTACAGCGCATGCTGATTCTGAGGCTGCTGATAATTCATTTGTTCAACGATTGGGTTTCCTAAGTTCAAATCCACATTTCGAGTCTAGAGGTAGCAAGTTCTTGGTAAAACATTATGCTGGGGATGTTTTGTATACAATATCAGGTATGACTGATAAAAACAAAGATCAACTAGTAAAAGACCTGTTGGAATTGATCGAGAGTAGTGGAAATAAATTTGTGAGACAATTGTTTCCAAATAAAGTTGATCGTGATAGTAAAAAGAGACCTCCTACTATTGGGGACAAAATTAAGGTTATTTTAGTATATTATAATTTGAAATGCCTATTGATACCATTTTTTACCGTGATATTGATATGATATCTTTCGTTATAGTTATCAGCCAACGCTTTAGTTACTAATTTAATGCAAGCTCGCCCCTCGTATATTCGAACTATAAAACCAAATCAAAATAAAAGTCCATCAGAATATGATCAAAAAATGGTACTACATCAAATAAAATATCTTGGGCTTAACGAAAATATTCGAGTAAGAAGAGCAGGATTTGCATATCGGCAAACCTTTGAAAAGTTTTTAGAAAGGTAATGGATTTAATTTCATTATTTTTATTAAGAGTTTTTAGGTATATTATATTCTGATTCTAATAAAGATAAATAATTACTTGATAATAGATTCTACTTATTATCGAAAAAAACATCATATGCTGGTGAATATACTTGGAAAGGTGAATCGAAAGCTGGTGCAGAACGAGTTTTAAAAGATTGCGGAATCGCTACTGAAGAATGGCAAATGGGTGTCAACAAAGTTTTTATTAGACATCCTGAAACGGTGTGATTCTGTAAATTTACCAATCTTTTGATATTAACTATACCAATCAAGTATTATAACCAATTTATTTGTAGATTTGGGCACTTGAACATCTTAGAGACCGATTTTGGCATAACATGGCATTAAGAATTCAACGTGCTTATCGTAACTATGTTCGTTATAAAAATGAATGTGCCACGCGTATACAACGATGCTGGAAGAAGAATAAGGATCAAATCATATATGTTCAGCTACGTGATTATGGACATCAAATATTAGATGAAAGGAAAGAAAGACGAAGGTTTAGTCTGTTAAGCATGAGAAAGTTTATGGGAGATTATTTATTTGTCAATGTACCCGGAGGCAGTGGCGAGGCATTGAGGAATGCTTGTGACATTGGTGGTATGTTTAATTGAGGTTATTTTGTGGTTATTGCAATTATTTATTGAATTTGTTATTTTATTTTATTTTATTTTTTTATTTTAGATAATGAAACTGCGACTTTTAGTAGTAAAATTCAACTTCTTGTTGCTCGATTCGGAAGAGCTAGTAAACCAAGTCCAAGAATGTTAATTATGGTATTTGATCACAAATTGTTTATATTATTTTCAGGAAAATTTCTAAATATTGATTGGTTACACACCAGTTTTTCCGGCGCCAGATTCGCCACTATTAACAGAAATTACAAGAATTTGAAAAAAAAAAATAATAAATTACAAGAAATATTTTAAGATTTTTATAAACAGAAAATAATACCTGATAATTATACACTGATTTTCTTTATAACTATTCATGTTGTAATATGCCGATTCAGCAATTGCATACACATGAGGCGGCATCTATGAAATAAAAATATATTAATTGACAAATAATTTTATATTAAATAATGAATGATAGAAATCGTAGATTTAAAAAAACTCTAAATACCTCGAGCAGGTTTTTTCCAGTATAACTTTTCAATATTTGATCTGTATAAATACCCAAGTCCTTAAATGGGTTAACACTAATTAGCACATGTCCAATATATGTCTAATTAAAATAAAATAGGGTTAACATAAGTTCTAATTGTTGAAAGAATATGAACAGATCAATTATCAAAAGTATGTATATAAATTTACGCACGTAAATCTCATGATTTTCGAATCTTTTCTTTAAATTTTCGTTAATCGCATCATTATTAACTTTGCTCAACATAGTCATGTCAGA